AATTTTCTGCAGAAAAGCCACCAATTCATGTTTCAGCTAAAAGTTTGTCGCATACATATTTTGCTGCAGGATATTTCAGATTATGATGATGTTAGATATTGCTGTTCAGGAGCTGATGTTTGTTTGGAGTGCTGGCCACTAATGACAGTTGCTATCAAGGTCATTGATACTTCTCTCAGAGGTATAGTCTGTATGACATGAAAAAACAAGCTGGTCATTTGCCAAGGAATCAATTTGGACATTTGATTTGCTTAACCGAGTACTTCTGTAAATGAATGTTGAATATATCCTCGTTTTGTTGTTTAACAGATGACTTTGGGTTTAGTCACATTCTGTGGGTATACAGTGGTAGGCGTGGTGTTCACTGTTGGGTTTGTGATGGAAAAGCAAGAAGGTATAGCTGCATTTACAACCAGAAGTGTATTACAATTGCTGTTTGTTTTAGTATTTATTGACAAGGTTATTGTCTTGGATATTATACTAGTTTTATATTGTTTTTATAACCATCATCACAATCAGGTTGAACAATGAACAGAGGGCTGCAATTGCTGATTATTTTCGTGTCTACAAGGTACTTGGGGATGTTTTTACATGTGCGCTATCGGAGATGATGATGGCTTGAGGTTCTAACAGAAAAAATATTTTGTTTATCATTCAGGGCAATGAGAATAGCAATAAAAAGGTTTCTCTAGTGGGTCCTGCACTTCATCCCTTCCTCGTGTAAGGTTTTCTCCATTTACTTCCTCTTCATTTCGGTTTAGGTTTTTCTGAGTCATCTGCTACCTTTTACAGGAGATCATATACTAAAATCTTACAAAACTACTTTGAGAAAAGATTGCTTTCAAGTCAAAATTTGTTCCTGAATGAGGAGAGGTTTGAGAAGATACTGGAAATGATACCTGACGAATGTATGCAAGTTTACCTCTCATTACTTGTTCAATATTTTTCATCTCATTGAGTTGTTAGTAAAGTTGAGGTGATTTTTCAGCTATTACATCTGAGCTCCGGGGAAGGTGGCTGTCTAATAAGCGCTCAAAAGAAGATATTAATGTTGTTCGTTGGGAACAACTAAAACATCTGTTATCTAGTAAAAAGGTAGAAATCTTTTACTGACCAGTACTTGGGGAGGTCAAAGTTTTTCACTGTCTTTTTAATTGCATGGCTCGAGTTTGTCCTAATTCTTAGTCTTGAAAACATTGAGATTCTCTTACTGTGTATCATTATTTCATTATCCAAGATCTATCATGTTCCTTCACCAATTGAGTGAGCCATGGTATCTTTTTAGTAAATTAGCTAAAAGGTGTGGATGTATTTCTTGCTCTTCTCGTAATCTCTTCTACTATCTGGTTGGGGCTTTTCATTGCTTGAACATCAAATTTATACCAAAGTGATTCATCTGTTTCTGTTACCCATGGTTCCATTTTGCATTTCAGGGCCAGGGTCTTCGCAGATGCATCGAAGAGATTGTGTTTTCATTTACCTATCCAAGGCTTGATATGGAGGTTTGTGTTATTTACAGTTTCCCCCCTTTTTTGGGACCCCACTTCTGCTTATATGGAGTATAAATATTTAATATACCCACAGGAATAACAGGCATGTAGAGAAACAAATACAATGGGACTTGATTATATTCCTTTGACGTTTTACTTCATGAATTCAAACTGAAGATTTAACTGAAGATTTGCTTCTTTTACCTCTCAGGTCTCAAAGCACATGAATCACTTATTAAAAGCTCCTTTCTGTGTGCACCCCAAAACAGGTTCGAAACTTATATGTTGAACCTCAAAGCACCTAAAAGACAAGACACTTGAATCATTACAGTTTCTTATCATTGGCTATCTTTGTCTCCGGTACATTTTAACAGAATCTTTGCGCTTCTTTTTGTTAGGCCGCGTTTGTATTCCTATTGATCCCAAGAAGTGTGACGAGCTTGATCCTTCTGCTGTTCCAACCCTTTCCAAGGTGAACAATCCTTGAATAGTTTGCCTTTAGCATTTTCAAGATATCATTGATGATTTCAATTGGTTGATTCTTGTATAGAATGTTACTATGAGAAGTGAAATCAAGGTTTGTAATGTCATTTGGAAGACCATATAGAAAAATGTGTCTATCATCAGTATTCAAGCTTGTCCATTCCAAGTCTTCCATAACCAAATGTTCCATTCAGAAGCAAATGGTTTCCTCATGATCTAACTACTGCTATGCTGCCTCGCCTTATTGACATCCTTCCAGATGTTCAATTAGTCAAGGCTGGCTGTAGTAACGGCAAAAGGTTACTGAACCTGGTCAAATGAATTTCTATCCCTTGTAGTCGAGACCAGACTGTTATTCTTTTCCAGTTTCAATATATTACTGAATATGGCGTAATGCTGTTAATGATCCTACCCATTAATCAGTTATAGCATGGTTGTTGCACCTATGAGATAAGTTAATCATCATTATTTTCATCTTTTTGCATCCAGAAGTTGTAAAATTTGGCAGTACATTATCAAATAATTTGAAGTACGTGGAGACACTTTTCTTATTCCAACTACTTTCTCTTTTCCTTCTAATTGATACTAACTTGACTGTATTGCAGCTTATTGGGGATCTTAATGCTGGAGGTTTTATAGCAGAAGGGGACAATGGTATGGAAGAAGGGAAAAATGGTATGCTGAATTCTTTTCTTTTTAACTTGTATTTTTGAGATAATTATTCTGATCCCTTTTGTTCTTTCCATCAAGTGGTGTCAGAAATAGCAATGATTTACTTGTGGTTCTTAGCTGATATTTTCATTAAACTAAAGCATTGATCATTCAGCTATCATAACTTGTGAATTTCACTCTAGCTGGACTATTTACTATCTAAAGATTGAGCCTCTTTGTAATTGTGTCTCTATATTTAACTTGGTTCTCTTGCCACTGCAGTGTATTTCTTTATTGTTTCCAAGTCCAACTGATTCGAAATTTTTGGTTTTACTCTTTGATGTTCACTTTATTGCAGAATGGGATGGAACATCTTTCGTACAATGTGTTAAATACTTTAAGGAATACTTCTTGGATCCTCTGCATAAGTCTTGCAAGGTACATCTCAACTACTTGAAATAAATCATCCTTGTATTTATCTTGCCATGCCTGTCCTTTCAATAGTAGTTTATCATACTCGTTCAGAAATTGTGAGCAACAAATAATGTGTTTTAAGCATGTAATTTTTTCATTAACTGCCATCGATTTTTAACATTAAACTCATTGGTGGGGAAACTGACATCGCTCATAACCATGCAGGAGGAGATAGAGACTTCTTATAATGCAAAAGTTAAGCAATCAAGGAATTCAATTAGCTGGTAGTGTTCTTATAAGATCTTCAATATACATGTTGTTTACGACCCTGCTGGTGATTGTAATTATGTGTTAATACTATGTCTTGTGCTTAATTTGTTAGTCTTATGCTTAATTTGAGTGATAAAGCTTGTAATATGCCCCCCCCCCCCCCCCCCNCTCTTGAGACTTGTAGTGTCGAAATCAATTTCTCATTGCAGTTGACAAATCTTACTAAAACGTACGGATTAGCTTCGAATACAACGTTGTCTACCAATGATAAGTTTTGTTCATTTAATGAAGTAATGAACTTATAACTGGCTCAGGCTAGCATTATCAAAATTCAGAAGATTTTGTTGACTATTGTGGATATGTGGTCTGTCAGACAAATAGTGGGCCTTGGTTCTTTGCATTCCTACGGTTCTAAAGGTGTCAGGCGAGCGTTACTGAGACATCACCATCGCCTGCTTTGATCTCACTGTATTAGATTGATTCACACCAGGTTTCAGGACCATTTCATTTTACTTCTTTAAATTTTTATACAAACCAAACCCTATAGTCAGAGAAACATGGATATGATTATTGTTGAGTTGTTCCACATAGGTGGGATTTGAGGTCCTTGGTCTTTTTATATAGTCTTGGACAATTCTCATCCCATAAGTTAGTTTTTGGGGTTGAGTTAGGCCAAATATCTATTTATCATGGTATTCCATCCCAATTATTGTTACTGGTCTTGGTCAATCCTATCTCATAAGCTAGCTTTTGGGGTTGAGTTAGACCCAATGTTTATTTATCAATTATCTTGTAAATTAGATAAAGAAAAAATATATATTATGGAGTTGATGTTCCTTTTTAACGCGACACTCTTTCCTTTTAGTTTGTTAAAGCAAGTAAAGCACAATTTTTTTCATTATGTTCTTAATGAAATGCTTTTAAAGTTATAAAAATGTTATAAGGAACAAAAAAAAAGACAGAATGTAGGTGAGCGTTGAAGCATCAACAGGACCACAATGACTTGGTAGTGAGCTCTGTGCTTCACATGTGGCCTTCTCAAATCTCAAATAGTCAACTAGCTTTGTGCATCACATGTTACACGGTATGGCAAATCTAGGATATGTGGCACTGTTCCTTTTCACACTTATATTTTCCTCAAGATTTTCTTTCTGCTTTTTCTCAAGTTGATTTGAGAATCGAGATGAAAACCAAATCATTATACCTTTCTAAAGTGGTATAGCAGTGTTTGATCATAGCTTGTGTTTATGTCAACTATTTCATTAGTATGTGTTATCTTCTACTGATATTTAGATATTAAGTAACTCTGCGTTAAAACTTCAAGCAAATAAGAAAAAATTACTAACCTTTTTTTGTCCATGCTAGGACTTGACCAAAATGACCATCATATTAGTACTAAACCTTTCTGTGAAATATCTACCTTTCCTTCTCAAAACTTAGTAGGAGTCTTTCATTGCATCAATTTAAGTTACACTACTTTATATGCCGGAAGTTCTCTTTGTTTCCTTATTCTCTCCCTATTCACACTACAATTCCAAAAGAATTTAAAAAGATAGATGCCAAACTGCAAACTGGTTTAAATATCACTAATTTTATTAGAAATAGCAAAACCCCCACAAACTTGATGCAGATACTTGGGATTAAATAGAGCTCAAATATGTCCATTCATCCCACAAGGAAACACAAGACAAATTCAAAAGTAGTCATAAATAGATAGTTAAACTTCAAAATTAACCATTTACATTCCCACAACAGAAAATGGCCCCTCTAAATCCCAATATAAGCTCCTAATTAAACTTAACATACCAACTAAGAAGTTCTAATTAGCAAGAACTTCCCATATCAACTCAGGATCAAAAGAAGGCATTCTTGCAAGTGAACAGCTATCAAACTCAGATTCCATTAATGGCTCCTTTAAGCAGTCACCAAAAATAGAACAATTCGAATTCTCACTTTTCCACAATCCATCTTCAGAAACACTTGGGGAAATCACATCACCCACCAAAGAAGAAGTAGAAGATGATGAATCTATAGATTCTTTAACTTTACTCTCATTTTCACACTTTTTCTTGGCACCCTTTTTAGCTTTCTCTCTTTTCACCTTTTGACAAATAGCTTGAATTTTAGCATCCACAGCATTCTTCACAGCATTCATTTTTTCACTATCTCCAAATCCCAACTTACTCGGATCGCGAATATTAGGAAAATTCAAGCGTGCATATTCGCCGCGAAGCTTATATGCTGCTCTGTCATAAGCATAAGCAGCAGCTTCAGCAGTGTCATAAGTACCTAACCAAACTCTCATTCTGTTTTGTGGAAGTCTTATTTCAGCAACCCATTTTCCCCAATGCCTCTGTCTCACTCCCCTGTATAATTTTTTCTTCTCTGGAAACCTGTAATTCTGTGTATACAGAGAGTTTTGAAGTGGGAAAGTTGTGGAAGTTGTTGGTATTGGGATATTTGTTATGTTTTCTTGGAAAATTTTTTGTAGCAAATCTCTTTGTCTAAGGTAAACTGAAGAACCTAAGGGCTCAAAAACAGGGCTAGTTATTTGATTTGTTTCTTGGCAATGAGAAAATATTGAGTCTAATGTGTTTGTACCACTTGTTAAAATTAGTTGAGATAAGGAAGATCTAATTTGAGCACCCTCATCAAATATGCAAGACATAGTGTTGTTTTCTTGGATTGTGTTCATTATCACTTCATAAAACTAGAAAACAGAGGGGAAAACAGAGGAGAAAACAGAGGAAACAGAGGAAAACAGAGGAGAATACAGAGGAAAACAGAGGGGAAAACAGGGTACTAAAAAAATGGCCCCTTTTCCCTAAAGTTAAATCCACTGATCCAGAGAAAAAGTTGAGGATTAATGGAGAATTTGGAGAGCTAAAAAAACAGAAAAGTCAAAAAACAGAGAAATGGTTGGAGAAAAATGTTGTGTTGTTGTTTTGAAGTGAATAATGGAAGAGAAGAGGGCAGTTGGGAATAGAGATTTTTGTGTTTGATGTTTAAGTTTGGTTTCCTCTTTGCTGTATTTATAGCTGCTGAGAAAAGGATCTTTCTGCTTAAAGTTAAGGCCCATAACTTTCTTTTGTATTCAAAATTTGGCATTTATGATTCAACCTTTTACTCTTATCTAAGTCCTTTGCAATCTCTGTATTACCATTGTAGTAATTGTGACTGAAAAGTGGTTCCATGTTTTATTCAAAGAGAACTAATCTATTTATTAGATAAGTACTCCGTCCGTTTATTTTTACGTTTCTACTATGCTAAAAATATATTTTTACTTGTCTATTTTAGCAAATCATAAGAAAGACAATTTTTTTTCTTGTTTTATTATGGGTAAAATTGTAAAATATATACTTCTTTTTTTTTTTTTTTATAAAAAAGAAGAAGTGCAAAGTCAAACGATTATAAGTGAACGGAGGGAGTATTTGATTTTTTTTTTTGGGTGTGTGTGTGTTGGGAAAGTAAGGATCTACTATAGTCTTGGTCGCACATTTTTAACATAGTGTTCGGATTCTCATGTCTTTCAAAATTAAGATATTCGAATTAGCGACGTATGATAGTCGATCTTATGGCGGTAACAAGAAAAACCTTGCACCACGAGTCTGTATAGTAGTGCATCTATTAGTGAACTACCACAAATTTTTTGTTTATGAGAAGGTTTTATTCTTTTCATTGTCATTTTTATATTATTCGAGTAAAGAAATTTTTATTTAATTTTGTTTTTTCATTGAATATGTTTGATTTAAATGTTATCACCCCTTTAAATCTTTAGCTCCTTTCTAATCCAACTCTTTTATAAAGGGAAACACAATTTTTTATAGTGTTCCTCATTTATATTCTTTGACCAATTCTTCTTCACCAGCCCTAACTGTCAAGTAGTAACTAGCAACATATGTTGTCTTGTATTCAAAGCTTATTTTACTATCTAAAATTACAATTGCTGAATGTAACATTGAGTTCAAGAGTCGACATACATATTTGACTCAAGACTTGAGTTCACATCTTAAAGAAGTAACATGATAATTATTGTTGCTCAACTATTAAGATGATAATGTGTGGAAAAAATTTAATATTATACTTTCCGATGTTATAACATACTTAAGATCCTGCATTCTATTTTATTTTTTTTAGAAATGACACCAGGTAGCCACTTTAATGGAATGCTATTTAAGAATTAGCCAGTGCGTCCTCAATTTCAGTTTTTCAATTCAAATTTTCGGGACAAAAATGTCATGAATTGTCCTAAAGTTAAGATTTTTAATTTTTAAAATTTCAGGACAAAATAAGTACCGACAAATCTCTAAATAGCATCCGTGAGATTGGCTATATCTGCACTTGCTCCTTTTTTTCCCCCCTTAAATCCATCGCCTAGTCAAATTAACATAGGATGAAATGGATGGAGTAGGTCATTTACAACAAAGTTGTACTATAAAATCTGAGAAATTTTTTCACTTTGTACTTGAGATAAACACAAATTGGGAGGTGCGTGGGTTGGGGTG